GTTGATTGGTCATCATAGTATTCAAAATATTACCATTGATTGGTCATCATAGTATTCAAAATATTACTATTGAGAAGTCATCATAATATTCAAAATATTACCATTGATTTGTCGTCATAGTATTCAAGATATTACCATTGATTTATCATCATAGTATTCAAAATATTACCATTGATTGGTCATCATAGTATTCAAGATATTATCATTGATTGGTCATCATAGTATTCAAAATATTACCATTGATTGGGAAGACACAGTATATTAAAATAATACACGTAGTGAAGGTTATATTAGTGTCGTTTGACGTGATGGCAAAAGAAAGAAAATTATTTGGAGTTCTTTTCTTTGCAGGAAGAGACATCAAAACTCATATGCCTTATACCTGAACTGAGTTATATGACTGGGCTCACGGATGAAATGAGATCGGATTTCAAAGTTATGAAGGTATTTATAAGTTTGCACTTTGATTGTGCATTTAAATTGGAATCTGAACAACATATATTTGATCAAGTCTATTGGAATAAATAGTTTAATATGACATGAATAGCATTAGAGATAGAAATATTTATTTTTTACTTTGAGGTGTCACTCGTAAATGATATTAACACTTGTCAAAATGTTTCATTTCTTGTTTTTAGGGGTTATAGCCCCGAGCTCTTATAGATTACAAACATTTGATTGAAATAAAATGTTATCATCTTATAATTAGAAAGTATAATTAAATGTTTACTGACAAAATTCATATTATGTCATAATGCTCCAAAGATGTGTTAAAAAATTATCTTCGATATTAAAGCTCACATTGTTTGTCATCTTTTACATTAATTGCAAGTTACGTCTGTAAAAACAAATTTTTAGACAAATTGTTAAAATATTTAACAGATCTGACGTGTCATGGCTGAACCAAAGCTTTAATTAATAATTCTAACTTACTTTTCCCAGGATATTGCCGTACACACTCGAGTCACACCAAACCAAAGACAGGCAGCTCTGCATCAGTTTATAAACAATATTAACTCCAATTCTGAGGCAAAACAAATGCTTGCGGATTGGGGAGTGAGCGTGCAGTCTGGAATTGTTGCTGTAAGTTTATTTATCATTAAACATTAAAAAAAGTGTAAGTTTCAAAGAACCGTTCCTACTTCAATGTGTTGTCACAACAAACAATATCTTATATTTACTTCACTTAATGTACAACCGTTCCTACTTCAGTGTGTTGTCACAACAACCAACATCTTATATTTAGTTCACTTAATGTACAACCGTTCCTACTTCAATGTGTTGTCACAACAACCAACATCTTATATTTAGTTCACTTAATGTACAACTGTTCCTACTTCAATGTGTTGTCACAACAACCAATAT